AAACATAGATCCAAGGTATTTAGGGTTGCATGTACACTTAGGAGTGTTAGAATGCTCATAACCCATCAGAGGATCCCAACTCGTTGAGTAGACTTCAAAACCCATGTCCAAAACCATTCCTACTCGTCGAGTTTTCACCCTTGACTGGACAAGTTTCCATCTTGATTTGAGGTTTTTCTTTCCTTAATTGGCCTTCTGGATTCCGGGTGTTACATGATCATCACAACATAACTCATATCATCTTATGGTATGTATATATCCTTATAACACCACAATGACATTCAATCATTTACACCACATAATAACTCACATATTGTGCTACACATATATCAACAACAATAGATGTTAGAGTAGTGTTACTCGTCTAATTAGCTTACATACATTCCAAATTTAGTTCCCGACCTACATTGCCTTCCAGCTCATCACAAAGCAATACCTAATCAACAATTATCAAGTTCCTCACAACCTGTCAGAATTCACTACTAGCTACCCTTCGTGACCATTTGTCACCAAAATTATTAAACTTCATAATACAATCACAACATGCTTAACCCGTAAGCCATTAACTAATTCTACCACATCGGGTAATTCTAGTAGATTAAGGTTTACAACCCTCACCATCCTAACTAACTGTCTCGCCGTAAAGTTTACTTAAGAATCCTACCAATAGGTCCGTAATAGCACCATATCATGAACAATCGTAACATATACTCGGGTTTATCAAATCCCGAAAATTATCACATATAATAATTACACAACAATGGGGTAAAAGATACATCAACTAATCTTATTCTCAACTATGTATCTCTCATACAACGATATATGTCCTCTGTTATAATCAGGCGAGAACGATTCCCGAGCAGCATCTCCGATCCCACATGCCAAAACTCTCTCAAATAACACGAAATGCTAATATTTATACTTTGGAGTGCACCACGTCATGGTCATATATGCACCACATCATGGTGATCAATTTGACCCTGCTTTCACCTTGTATCCCCTCCTTTTGCCATATGTCGTTCTCTGGTTGACATGTGTCTCGGTGACTCACCTCTTACCATGTCGTTGTTAGCATACCACCATGTCATGGTGATAATAAAGTTGATCGTTGACTTGAGTTCTGTTGACCTTCTCAAAATAGCAACTTACTTTCATCACAACTTCAAACAACCATAACTTTCTCATATGAACTTTATTTTCAACAAACTTTATATCCACAGAATAGTCATCACATGCACTACAACATTCCTCAACTATATTTTGCTAAATATCAATACACGATTTTAAGCAATTTCATGATCATTTACATACCTGTCTTATCATAATTTACACCCCACAGTTACGAAAACATGTATTACACATCTACCTCATTTGAGATTAACAAAAAGAATATACAACCACCATCGGTCAATATAACAACCATGTGATGAACTCAAACACAATTTTTCATATCTAAATAACAAAAAACTCAGATAATTCCATATCTACAATTTCAAATTGAAGCTGATCAAGAACTACCACCAGCATCTAATGAATTCGAACATAACTTTTCCAGATCTAAAGAATAAAACATTCCATTTTTTCTTATCTGCAAACTTAACCTCAAGAATAACTAAATTTGTAAACTGACAAGAACAATCAAATTTGTAACAATAGTACATTACCATATTTGTAAATCACAAGAACAATCAGATTTGTAAAAGCACAAGAACTAATTACCAAAATAGTAAACACCTAGCCTTCTCAAACAAAATCCAGAAATCAAAACTGACACAGAATGCCCTATTCTTCTCATATACAAACCCTTGCCAAATGTACAAGAAAATGAAGTTATTTAAGATTAAGAACATGAAAATCATTCAAACCCTAACCTCTCTCTCTTTGGTAAGTTTGGTTCTGGATCTAGAAAGACAAAGAAGGGCAGTTCGAGCTCTGATAACAAATAGATATGTAGCTCTGGCAACGAACAAATGGTCTGAGCCCTTCGATAGTGCTGAAACCCCTTCATCGGAGTCGTCGATCATACCAATGACATCAATCATAGTAATATTTCGTCACAACAAACCCTAGTATGCCACCATCTTTGGATATGGAAAGACGAAAGTAGAGTTTTTTTAAACCACCAAACCCTAGTGTCGCCGTCATTTTCAGGTCTGAATACCCACAAACGCACTGGCTGAAGGGAGCTAGAGTTTCAGATCCAGAATGACGATGGTAGGGTTTTTCAAACCCTAAATCATGTTGATGACGATCTCCGGTGGTTGTGAAAGGATGATGGCGGTATATCGAACGACGAAGGACGACGGTCTCCGACAAAAATTGGTTGCTCCGGTAGCTATTCAAAGCTTCTAAAAGAAGATAAAGAGAGTGATGGAGTCAGTGTGTTAAATGTAGGTTAGATAGGTTAGTAAGAGTAAGGGTGAGTATTTCTTTTTTGTTTCTTTAAATCAGAAAATCATGAAAATAAATAAAAAATAGAAAAAAATAATAATAAAAGCAATTTAGTTATTTTAAGCTATTTCAAGTTTTGAAAGAACCAAAACCAATAAAAATCTTATTTTGGATTAATGGTACTGATTCAAAACTTTTTAGATCAAAATAACTTTTGTCAAACCACATTAGCAATTTTGTCTAAAATAGTACTATAGGTGAGTTTATTCTAATGAGTTTCAGGCATATAATGGAGATATAAAAATACATATTACGGTGATGCCCCCAACCCAAGACAGTGGGCCCAACCACCACCTCAATCTTGCATGGCTAGACTGGCCATTCGTTTGTATACTTAGCTAAGTAAAAAGAGCTTTTCTTCATCTACTTAACCACTCAATCAAACCCTACCATACCAAGAAACACACACGAACACTCTCATGGCCAAAGCACTAGCTACTCCTTTTCTCTCTCTGTTCATTCTCTCTCTCTTACACTCTTCACATTCCTCCACGAACTCATTCATCTATGGAGGTTGTTCACAGATCAAATACTCACCTGGCTCACCATACGAGTCCAACCTCAACTCACTCCTCACTTCCCTAGTCAACTCAGCCACCTACTCGTCTTACAACAAATACAGCATCTCCGGCTCCACCCAACAAGAAGTAATCAACGGTGTCTACCAATGTAGAGGCGACTTAGCCATGCCGGACTGCGCCACCTGTGTTGCGCGTGCAGTGACCCAACTCGGTCCACTCTGCTCTCAAGCTTGCGGTGGTGCTCTGCAGCTAGAAGGGTGTTTCGTCAAGTATGACAACACTAGTTTCATTGGTGTGGAGGATAAGACGGTGGTGATGAAGAAATGTGCGCCGTCGGTTGGGTATGATCCGGAGGTGATGGGGCGGAGGGATGCAGTGTTGGCGAGCTTGGGTTCTTCCAGTGGGTTGTATAGGGTTGGTGGTTCCGCTGATGTGGAAGGGGTGGCTCAGTGTGTCGGGGATTTGAGTAATGGCAAGTGTGAAGATTGTGTGACGGAGGCGATTGGACGGTTGAAAAGTGATTGCGGCGGTGCGGTGTTTGGAGATATGTTTTTGGCCAAGTGTTATGCAAGGTATTCAACGAGTGGAGCTCATGCTTATGCCAGTTCTCATCACCATGGTAATTACTTTTACCTTTACCATTTTATTAACGGTGTGTGCACTGGTCACCGGATCATTAGAAAAAGATAATGGCATTTAGACATTCAGGTGTTTAGCAACTAACTGAAAATATAGTTTATAACCAAAAAGTCTCATAAATAGTCATTGCTAAGCTAAATTATAGATGTAAAATATATAAACAACTTAGTTTCAGTTGAGAAACTATTTAGTTTCAAAATAGATTTGAACTTGATTTTGTGAGGTCTGTTTAATTTGAAAAATATAAATCTAAAACAATTAGTTTAAAAGATCGATATATTAAAAAAAACATAGTTTAATATTGGCTTGTTAAAAGATAGTACATTCGAATCGAAATTTTATACTTTTGATGCTTTTCATGCATGTTCATAAATCTACACTTTATCCATGTACTACGTAAACTAATTCATCACAACGATATTTGCCTCATTTTTTATTAGTATTTTGCTTTTCGATAAAAGTTTTACATTTTCAAAAGTTACACAAAATGTATATGTACTTTTAGTAAATCTATATCTTTTGTAAGATATATTTTCAAAACCAATATACTTAAAGAGTTGTCTGATTTGTTAAAACTAAATGGTAACGGGAAAGTTGAAAGTTAGTAGCTAGTAGTAATTAGTAGCTAGAAACTAGAAACTGAAATTTTTATTTTTTAATCAAATAAAAAAATGGATTAGTAAAGTAAATTAGTATTTTTAACTTATTGTTACGTTATTAAACATCGAGTCTAAACATATATTCTTTAGAATAATAATTAGTTAAGAATTAGTTTTTACGTATAGTTTACTTTTCTTCGCAGATGGGCATGATGAAGCCGAGAAGACATTTGCAATAATAATTGGATTATTAGCTGGTGTTGCACTCATTATCATATTCTTAACTTTCATGAGAAAAGCTTTCGGCCGAAACGGTAACTTATTTTCATATTCCTCTGTTTGTAAAACAGTATATTTTTATTATTATTATTATAAAACCGTATATAAAAGATCCATCAAAATATAATAATGTAATATAAAATAAAATAATTTTTTCAATTAATTAAGGTATTAGTGAGTCTTACATAATAGAATTTTAAAATGTGTCCTAAAATCATATATATTGTTAATCATATTTAAAATCGTTTCAAAATAAATGTGCTTCGATTCTATGCAATTATTGTACTTCAATTTCTATGCAATTTACTTACTTCTATTTAGCATTATACTTTTAGTTAATCTTATTGCAAATTTACAACATTACATTTTAAAATAAAATCTATCACTATTAAAATATGTGACTTAATAAGACATGTATAAAACCTAAGGGCTTCTAGCCCAGCGGTATCCGGTGTTGCCTCCCTCCTTGAGGTTGAGGGTTCAAGTCCCGTCGTGGACATAGGTGGATTTAAGGTGTAGTTTAGAAGTATGTTAGATTTGCCGTTTCAAAAAATAATAATAATAATAATAAAATAAATAAATAAGACATGTATAAAATGTGGTGGATAACTATAATGACTTATGTTTAGTTAATGACGCTACTCAATCTTTGTGGTCATAGATGTTAATCTGAAGTAACTTCAGGATATTAGGCAAAACATTATGTTTGCAAGGGAGATTAGTCATTGTACGAAACATGACCCGGATACTTTCCTTAGAAAATCTCTATTTCCAAAAAATATCAAAATACAATATATTAATAAGTCATTATATACATAACACTTAATAAAAAGAAAATGCGTTATTATTGTTATAAAAATTATTTAACCAGTGTGCTTTTGAGCTCCGTTGCACCTTAAGTGTATATACCTTTTTCAAAGCAAACTTTTTGGTATATACTTTCACTTTTTTTCTCTTTTACACTTTTACTTTTTTATATAAAATTGTATATAACATATATTTTTATCTATTTATAAATTTTATATATAATCTTTTTGTTTTTTTGCAGGTAAATAAATGAAAACTTTATCAAAAGTTAAAAGGGTTGCATGGACGGCTTCCACCACCTCATCACTTTTCTTGTCTCATTGCTTTTCCTTTTTTCCTTTATGATGTCAACTTACATTCTTATTTTTATTTACTTTAATTCTATGGTAATTATTACTTTGTAATTGAATTTAATGAATACATTATCATGAATCAGGTTGAATTTGTTTAAGCATGATAATTTACTTATAACGATTTATAAGTTATGAATTTGGATCGTATACTTATATGAATTTGGATCTTATACTTATTCATTATCTATAAAATTACTAACTAGAGGAGGAACCATGTTTTATATGGGTCACGAGTTCTTTTTGGAGGTTTATTTGTATTATTTGTTGTTTTGTAGTAAGTTTTGCTTCGAATTTATAGTTCTTTGCATTATAGTGAAGCTAATACAAAAGATGGGGAAGACTTTTTTAATAGGGATAATGACTTAAAAATGTAATATATTTTTCGATTTGTATACATTTAGTCACTGAGTTTTTTTCGTCCACATTTGCCTCTTCAACTTGTTAAACTTACACATTTATGACCGGTTACTCCAGGTTAGCCGGTAAAAATGACTTAATATGATCTCGACTACTTGGTTGCTTAAATCATGTGTTCTGAACGTCATAACTTCTTCATACGATCTTAGATTTTAACGATCATTATATCCATGTGTTCGTATTTTAGTCTACTACAACTTTTTTTGTGATTACTCCCGTTAAAAAGTAATATATTTTTACTTACGATCTTTATATCCATACGTTTTTATAAATGCATGTATGGATGTTTTTTTATAAAATCGTAAGTAAAAATTAATATATTACATTTGAACGAGAGTAATCTTAACGAAAGTTGTAGTAGACTAAAAAAACATACACGTGGATATAAAGATCGTTAAAATTTGATATTGTATAAAAAAGTTACGTCGTTCAGAACACAAGACCTAAGCCAAACCACAAGACCTACGCAACCAAGCAGTCGAGATCGCGATGGACATAAACATCAACAATCTGAAACACGTCATCAATGATTGTCTCACGTAAGATGTCGTGAGAAAAACCTAAAAAAATCATTCAGAAGTATTGAATGAGTACAAAAACAAAAAAGACTTATTTTGAAACAAAAAAATATGAATGATTAAATGTGCACAAAAATAATAAGAACTAAATGTGTACAAAACGATAAATATATTACCCTATTAAGTCATTTTTCCCGGCTAACCTAGAGTAACCGGTCATAAGAACTGAATGTGTACAGTTTAACAAGTTTAAGGGTAAATGTGGATGAAAAAAACTCAGTGACTAAATATGTACAAATCAAAAAATATATTTCTCTTTTAAGTCATTATCCCTCCTTAATACGATAAATATGAAAACAAAAGATGGTGACGTTCTATCTATCTATTAACTTTCTTAATACGAGAAATGTGAAAACAAAATTCAATTCCATTCTTTTTTTTTAAACGACCAAAATACCTTCATCATATATATTGAAATAAATAAAAATAATAAATTTAACCATAAGTGAAAACTTAGAAAATATTTAATTTTTTCTAATTTCCTCCAAAATCATTAACCAAGATTGTCTCTTTATATTCAACTAGGCGTGTACACGTGCGTTGCGCAATATTAAAATAATATCATTAAAAATTATATATTATATATGAAACTATAAATTTTAGATATAATTTTAATATGAAACTAATTATAACTTGCTCATCACAATGCATATATCTAACAATAATAATATTTTAATCACAAAACTCGAACGGAAAAACATAATCTCATATTCAATATGATAATGTAACCAACATCTATAATACATTTAATAATATCTATGAAGTATTACAGTCAAAATAAAGCATATATATATATATATATATATATATATATATATATATATATATATATATATATATATATATGTGTGTGTGTGTGTGAATATGTATTTTTGTAGATCCTTTTTTAGGGAATCTCATTTGGTGTAAGAAAAATACAATATAAGAGATATTACGTGGTAGAATAGAACAAAATAACCATAAATTTTGTTTCATATTCTCTTCAAACAATATAAACAAAATCTGTATATTTTGCTTTTATAAATTTGTACATTTCACTTGTAGTAATTAATTATTTTAAAGTTTAAGTCATAAGTACACATAAATAATCATATATACACATAATTTACAAAACTCTTGAGTTGTAGTGGCTAATTAGTTCTAGTTAAAATGACTTTTGAGTTATACGAGTTTCAAATGAATATGTTGCATTAAAATTGACATTTATTATAATAAATATATAGATCGAACACCCTTCATGTTGTCATATTTTTTTAAATCATATATATTGTATTAAAATATTCATTAATAATATAATTTTACTTTTGTAAGTATACAAAATGTTGGTGAATTGTTTCACTAATTGTATTTAAGTGTAATGGGTTGACTTGTTGACCAAAATTAATATTGATGAATATTAAACGAATAACGAAGGTGCGAAGTACACACTTGTTTAAGTTTATTCAAGATTCAAAGTAGACTGTCATATAGGGGAGAAGCCCCTGAACGACCGGGGGTCCGGGGGCAGCGCCCATGTGAACGGGGTCCAAGGGGCAGAGCCCCTTGGCTAGGGTCGAGCTTTGTTTTTGGGTTATATTGCTTTGTCAAAAATGCTTTAGAAATCTGAATTATTGAACATGAACCATGTTTTTTTACTTTGTTTTGATTCTTATTAAAATGTCCGTTTTTATGATAGTTTGAGACTGTGATAGTTTTCAGACAGAGAAAATTGCTTGGTGGCAGTTTTTGGAGATTGATGGTTAATAACCAATTTTGGTCATCATTTTTTTGTACTCACGAAAATCATAACACCTTATTCTCTTCTTCTGTTTTCTCTTATTTTCGAGTCTTATCCAATTGAGGATTTGGGGAGTACCCCCCAAACACTTCGATTTGAAAGTGATAATCACGATTTTCAGAATTTCAAGTGTTATTTCTTACCTCATATTTCTAACACAAAACTCAATCAAACAATCATATAAAACAATTGAAACCAAGATCATACATCTTCAAGAAGTTATAACAATTAAACCGAAACGTGGGCATTTTTCTTTTAGTTTTAAATATATAACCATAATTTTTTTTATTGAAATGTAAAGAAAATAGACAAAAAAATATATGTATATAAATTAAAAAGAAGAAAATAACACCATATAGATTTTAGTCTTTCAAAACCTTGATTATGATATATACTTCAACATTCAACTTTTTCTTTTTCAGATTAACACTTCAAAAACCTTCAACCTTATTGATCTATTACTTCTTTATCTTTGTATTCTCTCTAAATTTTGTATGTGATTTGTGTGTGGTTATGTTTACGAAAATGATTGATTCTATAAATAGTAATAAAATACGTATAAGTAGGAATACAAAAAATTCTTAGAAATTTATAATTATTTTAATAATTGTCATTAATTTAAGAAATGTGAAATGACATAGGTTTCAAATCAATATGGTTTGAGATAACAATTTATCTCTAACCACATGAGTTTCAATGGCATCCTTTATAGTATAGAATAAATTTCGGATGTTACGTACACTTTCCAAATTTCTTATTTGAATTTTTTATTCTATCAAAGAATTTTTTGTAATCATATCAACCTGTGTAAAAACTTACTATATTTTATTTATTGCACTTCAACCAAACTCTCTAACCGTTGTTTCAGCACTTTATTTTCCATGTCCAGAATAATACTTTGTTGATTTATAAATTCCACCTCAGCAAATACCTCAGAACGTTCTGTCTGCACTCTCAAAATACACAACATGACATGGTTGGAATTTATAAAATATTAATAAGTTTTTGTTTTAACATTCTAAGCTACCTGTAAAGCATGTATATTCTTGTAAGAAACCTATAAATGCCTGAAACTAAAAGAGGGTCGGTGTGTTGATATATTATATTAGGTTCTTTTGGCTTAGTCCATTAAGTCAAAAAGAAACAACCATCAACCATGTATAGTTGCCTAAATCGAATGCTTAACCAATCAAGCTCATTAATTCTATTAATGTGGGACATGGGTGTTATAGTATTATTATACCTGAAAAGCTACAAAAGCACACTCCATAATTGCCTGTAGAATTGATAAATTCTTTATTTCAATTTCATTGGTTATTAATATAAAATAAGAATTTGGCTAAATGAATAACAATGTTTTGCTGGATAAAGTATTTTATACACAAAATCTGTTTTTTTTCTAGACCGAGCAAACCGTCTAAATTACAATAAATGATCGTTTACCCTTCATTCCAAATAACAGATTTCACAAAATACATCAATTTAATCCTTATACGGCTTAGCATTGAAAGCATTGTATCATTTTAAATTATCATAAGTTTATAAATAATTAAATATAACTTTTAAAAAGAGAAAAAAATGATGTGGTTTTTACCTGAACAACTTCGTTTCTATAATCTTAAATGCGCTAGGTTAAGTATTAAGTTTGTTCTTTAGTGAAAAGACATTTAGGCTTCACCTTTAAAAGGAGGAGCAAAATGGTAACTCATGTGTGTTCTACAACCACTAGGATGCTAACTTCTCTCGGATAAAGTACCAAATCTTCAGCCTGAAAAAAGTAAATCAATAAAAAAATATCACTAACCTACAAAACGTTTATGTAAAATACATAAAAATACAACAGGGCCAAAAAAGTCTAACTTTATTTATTTTGGAAAAACACCCCTCCCCCAGTGAACTAAAATCAACCCAGGAGAAGGAATCACATTCTAAAATGAATGCTCCATTCCACTACATCTGTCTTGCTACCATCATAAAAATATAAACAAAGTACAAAGAAAATCTTACAACACTTGTAAATTTACTAATTTCCCAAGCTGAAGTAGACCAGTTCCAGAAAACATGTTCTCCAAACTCATGTAGAAAGACTTTGAAGGATTAGAAATATGAAATTATCCAAAGGGTATTTTAGTTATTTTCAAATGGTACTTTGGAATTAAGAAATAATCCAAACGGTATTTTGGATTTGGCAGGAAATGGGATGGAAACGGTGAGAGAAAATAGGAAAAGGAGACGGAGGGACAAAAGTCGTTTACTTGTGTAATTATCCAAAGGGTATTTTAGTAATTTTCAAAAGATAAAAAATACTCGAAATTGAATTCCATGGGTTGTA